AAGCGACGACGACGACGACGACTACTACCTACTACCTACTACCTACTGCCTACTACCTACTACTACCACTACTACTACTACTACTACTACTACTACTACTCCTACTCCTACTCCTACTCCTACTACTACTACAACGACTGCTAGCAATAGCAGGAGTAGTAGGAATAGTTGTCAAAAGGAGCCAGAGTAGGGATTGTGGCAGGCGTAGTACTGGCAGCAGGTTGCCTCCCTCCACGTAAAATGCCGCAATGCTCTGACCTAACCTTCCTGGCACAGCCGTGTGAACCCATCACAAAACACCTTCATGTTGAAAGCCCATCCCGAAAAACTGAATGCAATCAAGCTAAAACCTCCACGCCTCTTCAGCAGTCGCCCTGCCTTCGACATCACGACCTCGACTGTGTACATCTGGCTTCGAGGCTGGCACACGAGCACTCCGCCACAATGCCACCAACAAAAAAACGAACGACAACATGACAAGCAGAGACACCGACCCGCATCGTTTGGGCGCTCTCTTTCCGTAATAAACAAGGAACTATTGTAACAGTATTGCCTTGCCGAGCTCCCGAAAAGCATCCGGCTGCGGGCGTCCAACATGTTGTACGATAACAGCCCTCCTAAGTCCGGACTCTCGCGAGCTTAAAACACTGAACCCTTACCCTGAAACTGGCATTATCAGGAAAGCATGAAATCCACTTTACTATCTGCCCTCATGATAATTTGAACTAGGCATACCTGCGCAAGAAGAGTCCGAAAGCAAGCTGAGGCCGTGTCTGAGTAGCTGAGAGAGGCCATCATAGGCTTCAGGTGCCACACGGGCATTGGGTTCCAGGTCCTGCGAAGAAGCAGAGCTTCGCAGTCCGGGTTTCTGGATATTGGGGGTACGGGCTTTGAAGGGATTTAAGGGTTATTTGGGTTTGCGACCATGGTCAATGGTGATAGGGTTTTTGGGTTTCGGGGATCGTAGTTATGGCTTCAGATTTTTGGGGTTTAGGGTTTCGGTTTAGGGCTGGGTTTGTACCCTTGGGGAGGTTCAGGGCTCGTAATTCTTGGCGATTCCGACAATGGGCTTGACGGCAGGGACTTTGAAGCTTACCACATCACGGGGCCCAGACATTGGTCCACGGCCCTCGGCCCTAAGTACCTCTGAGGGCCGTTGAAACCTTCCTGTCTGAAAGCCTGGACCCTGACGAACCTATGATCGCACCTGATAACGCGCCTAAGCCCTATTAGAGCCTGCTATCAAACCCAGAACTAGCCTGGATGGCTTTCAAGCCCATATCAATCCCTCTTCTGCTCGATTGTATATTCCCGTATCGCCCCATCAAGCAGCATGAAACACTACTGAACCCTCATGAACTCTATTGAATGAACATCGGAATCTGGGAAACTAGAGACCGCAATGTAAACTCTGAATAGTCAGGCCCTTGTCGTCAGGACCTCCAAATAATAAACGCTGAAGAAACCCCGCAAAAACATGCACACGACCCTGGAAAACCCCGATAAAATCCTCGAAACCTCAAACCGTACCCTTAAAATACCCATAATGTTGTGAGGCCCCAATTCACATGCCAGCTCTCTGTACTGAGGCTCGCACGCGAAGGAGGACAGTCTCCAGACTCTGGAATGGCAACTTCCTTTCAGCCAGGGCATGTCTTGCAGTTTATGGTTTTACATCGCCGTCACGCCAGGCGTCTCTTCGCTCGTTTGAAGGCTTCATCGGGTTTGTAGTTCATTTGGGCGGACAGGACCAGATGGTTCACGGCTTACCGAGAAAACAAACCCAAAAGACCCTCTTTCGCTGGAAACCATAATACATACTGTTACTATACATGGAGAACCCCTGGGAAAAAGGCCGAAGGATTGGAGTCCAGGTTTCAGGGCTCGGGGCCTGAGGGTTTAGGGTTCCGGGTTTAGGGGTTCGGGGCTTGAGGGTGTCAGGAACTTTCCAGGGATTTCCAAAACCTTCAACTGAGGAAAATAATACGTAATCCCGAATGAAGAAGAACGTAGAGGATTAAGCTGTCCAGTGGTTTTGTCTTACCATACCTGTATGCGGGACTCTGAAAGTGACCCGTATAGTAACCTCATAGAGTCCCAAGAGAGAGGTCAGTCAAGAATGGTACTTTTCATTCTTGGTGCTCCTGCGGTAGCTCTACACCTACATGGCTGGCGTAAGTTTCGAGCTTCGCATCGACCTGACACCCTCAAGCCCACATCCCAAGCGAAGACGACTCGACCCAAATCCCTCTCAAAAACCCTAAACCCTAAATCCTAAACCCTTAAATGCATTAAGGCTCGGGATTCGAATCAGGGTTCAGAGGTTTACGGTTTCGGGTAGCCAGTTAGATCCTAGCGGATGCAGCTTTGGAAAATCGTCTCTCAAGCAAGTCTGGTTTGGAGTTCGGCATCAAATGTTGATGTTTGCAGGGATTCATGCTGCCCCTGAACATGTGTTGAACCCTCGGGGGCTTTGGAAGTATTTCGCATTGTGATGCTTGCAGAGGTACTTTTTGCCACTGAATCTGAATTGCATCGCAAGTCTGGGCATAGCACTTGGCCACAGCGAACCACAGCACCACGCCAGCTGCCTAGTGATGCATACGGACCAAAAACATAGTCATGCAGCCACCAGTATGCCAGTATGTAGCACTTTGGAGCAGGACGACATCACCTTCTTCTCCTTGCTAGAGCGAGTTAAGTCCGGTGCTCAATTAACGGGTGGGGCAGTGGGCAGACAGGACTCGGCGGTCTAGGGTTTGGGGCTTAAGGTTTAGGCTTTAGGGTTTAGGGTTTAGGGTCATACTTTGCGCAGCTGATCTGGGACCTTTTGAACGGGTTCCCTATGAGCTTTGCTCATTGGCCTGCCTCTCCCCACATTGAGAACATGCTACTCAACACATTCTTGAGCCAAGTCCTAACCGCTGGATCCCCAAACAACCGAGGCGTCTCAATATAGACCCTCAATAATCGAATCCCGAATCTTCAACAATCTCTTTAATAAGGTCCCCCGCAATGCAAAGAAACCGCCAGCTGGTGCTAGGATGCTGGGGGGGGTCAGCAGCCCGGAAAAACACTTCAAGCTGGGGTTCAGGACTTAGGGGCAAAGTGCTTAAGGTTCAGGGCTGAGGATCTGGGGTTTAGGGTTTAGGATCTAGTTTAGGCTTGAGGATCTAGGGCCTATAGGGCTTAGGGTTCAGGAGGGATTGGGGTTTAGGGTACGGGAATGAGGCTGGTACCCAGACGTCTGCAGGGTAGCTGTACTCGCACTCCTCAGAAGGCGCCAGCAGCACAGATGCAAGATCGCTTGTGCGAAGACTTCAGGCGAAGCCCGAGACTGCTACAACATAGACAGAAGTTCGGCCTTGGTGAAACACACCCAACAGGCGACCCCGATAACATCTATACCTTGTGGCATTGTGTACCTCTTGGTCGTTTTTTGATCATGGAACAGAAATAACTACCAAAAGCCACTTCATGACCCGAGTCTATCTTACTTCATGGTTAAACAGAACAACCAAACACCCCTTCGTGACCCTAGTTTGCTTTCTGAACGGTGAACCAGAACATGCCAAAGGCTTTTTCATGACCCGATGTTACGTTTCTCAATAACAAGGTCAAATATGCGAATGTGTCAAGTTTAATTTCACGATACTCGCAAACTCCAGACCTAGGTTCTCAAACCCTAAATCCCAACCCCCCCTTGCCCAGCAGCTGGAAACTGTTGGCTTCGGCTGAAAGCTGGGATGGCACTAAGCCCGGTTTAGGGTTTAAGGTTCAGCCTTTGGGGATTTAGGAATTGGGGTCTAGGGCTTGGTTTCAGGGGTTCTCATCGTTCCTTGAGCCTGCTAGAAAGCTAGCACGCTGGATTCTGAAGCCGTAAACACCGAACCCGCCTGAAATCCGATCAGCCCAACACTCAATACCCTCGGCCCTGCTTGGGAAGAAACCCAAATGTCTTTTGCCGCGCTGAGCCCCCCTGCCGCCAGCTCCGGTGCCCAGTACCTTTGGCACGCGAATCGGATTGCTTTTAGTATTTTCGTGCAACAGTTCTTCAATCCCCAATATTCAACCGAAAAGTTGAACCCCGATACCTCATCTCCTAGAGGTCCAGGGCACAAACTGGAGGGTTTGGAGGTTGGAAGCCCGGGGGTTGGGGGTTGTGTGAGGTTGTTGGGTGCTGGGGTTCTCAAGACTTTGGGGCTCAGGGTTGGGCTGTGGAGATGTGGATGTGAGGACGTAGGACTTTTGAGTGAATCCCGGGACGCTGTTCAAAGACACAACGCGCCGCCATGCATGCATCCTTCGAGTGCGCACGAAGATCAGTGGAGCCGGAACTTGTAGCAAAGTTCTTCCGAGCAGCTGCTTTATGAACCGCGTACAAGATTGATGCTTGAACGAAATTGAAAGCAGAAAAAAGTGTGGACATCCCGCATACATATTCGCTGTGCAATGCTGTTGCATTAGATCTAGCCACAATGTCACAAATTAACCTGTGGTCTAGTATGTTACGGGGACTATAAGGGATAGAGATGACAAGCCGTTACACTAAGACTAACCTTAGCATGTCAATCTCTTCTCAAAACCATCCTAAGCCCTAAACCCTAACCCTAAACCGGCCCTAAACCTTAACCCATAACAATTCAACTGCTCGGCTACGGCGGCCTGATGAAAAACGCCTCAGGCCCTAAACAGTGAACCCAGAACCAAAACCCCGATGCCTTAAACGCGAAACACCCCGAAAACCAACAGAACTATTCCTAACACTTCACAACCGAAACAGAAGAAGCTACACCACAAAGCCGTACGTAATCACCAATGTTTATCAGACCGAGAATCTCTGGAGAGCCAATGACCTCCGACAGGTACGCCCCATCCTGGCCATGGATTTCATGGGCTTAAGGTCTAGATTTTGAACCGAAGGCTTCGGAGTTAAAGTTCAGGGATTAAGGGATTGTTGGTTCAAGGTCTAGGTTCACTAGCAGCAAGCAGCGACCGTTTGAACACGCTATCAGTTAGAGCGGCCCTCCAATCTAACGGATGGAAAACCCTACACCCTAACACCTAAAACCTCTAAACCCTAAAACTAATTGGTTTTCGGGCTGGGCAATGCTACGTGTACATCGGTACGTGATATGGGGTTAGAATGATTTGTCGCTTGGGTGCAACTCTAATAATGGTCGATTAGACCATGGCCGATTGGTCAGGCTCCTGTACTAGGCCTAGGCTTCACGGGTTCACGGATGCGTCACTCATATATGGTAATGATGCAAGCAGTGCTACAACGTCACATACGTTAGTTTTAACTAGAAGAAGAGTGGCCCGAAAGCATCATTAGCCATGAGTTTTGGGGCCATGAGTGTCGGCTATAGAGAGTCTATAGAGAGTCTAAAGAGAGTGTCGTAGAGTCAAGTGTGGTAAAGTCAAGTGTCGTAGAGTCAAGTGTCGTAGAGTCAAGTGTGGTAGAGTCAAGTGTG